ATGCGCATTGCGGTCTGAGGTTGTGGGTTCAAAACCTCTGCAGGACACCGGGGGGCGTTTACGTAACGCAGTTGTCTGCACACTCCCTTGGGCTGATGCAGGTCAGGATATTACAGACACTGCTTACACATCACCCAAGGGCTTGCTCCATGGTTATTGTATGCAGGGTGTAGGTTATGAGGGGTTGCCCAATGTTCTTGTTCAATGTGGTTGTCTAGATGGTTGCAAACTTGTCCCTTACTCGAGGTCAGTGTAGCGCACATTCAGATCATTCGGTACTATAGTTTGGCAGGTTAACACTGGTAAGTGATAAGTACGAGGTTCGGGGTTCGAGGATGGTGGATGGCCCAATCTATTTGTGGGGAGCAACACAGCGGGGAACGTTGTAACCTTTGGTCATGTTGCAGTTCTAGTGTGCAAAAATTTAGCTAACTGACTCCGAAGTGGTTAGGACACCATTTGGAAATACGCATTGCGGTCTGAGGTTGTGGGTTCAAAAGCTCTGTAGGACACCGGGGGGTGTTTACGTAACGCAGTTGTCTGCACACTCCCTTGGGCTGATGCAGGTCAGGATATTACAGACACTGCTTACGCATCACCCAAGGGCTTACTCCATGGTTGTTGTATGCTGGGTGTAGGCTATGAGGGGTTGCCCAATGTTCTTGGTCCATGTGGTTGTCTAGATGCTTGCAAACTTGTCCCTTACGCAAGGTCATTGTAGCGCACGTTCAGATCGTTCGGGTTAACACTGGTTACTGATAAGTACGAGGTTCGGGGTTCAAGGATGGTGCATGGCCCAATCTATTTGTGGGGTGCAACACGGCGGGAACTGGGTCCAGCGTCCCTTATCAGAAGACAAGAATTAAGCTACCATAAGAGCTATGCTGGTGGATACTAATAGAATACCTAGACACCCGGTTGATGATAGAGGTATGGGGAGAGGAGGGTGGCCGTAAGCCTACTAAGCACGGAAACTGGAGATGGTCTATGTTCAAATAACCTCCACAATAATTCAAGAACAACCAGAGGTTTCTGATCATGATAAGGTTAGGATCTCTTTGAAAATATAGGAATAACTGGGGTTCGCCTATGGGACTAGTGGTAGCATGCTTACCCTACCGCTCGAAGTGCCAAGTACGACGTGGCTGATTCGATAGTGCTTCCATCAGGGATGGGGAGGGAGATGAGACCCTCCTTAGCCCTAATGCCTACAACCATTGTTCGATCAATAGGTCACTGAGGAGATGAGACCCTCCTTAGCCCTAATGCCCCCATGGGTGACCGTCACGGCAGTCGAGAACCTTGAGCACGCGCCTCTTTCGGCGGGCCCGTTCGGGTTCCTGCGTGTTCGGGATGCTGGCGAAATTCCTCTATCCCGCCCGTCTTGAAACACGGATCGAGGAGTTCAACGTGCATGTGAGCCGGTGGGTGAGTAGCCCACGAGGCGGAAGAAACCTAAGTGGCGGGAACCCTCTGCGGGTGCACCGTCCGCCAACCACGATCTGCTGTGAGAGGTTTGAGTGTGAGCATGCCCGTTGGGACCCGAAAGATRGTGAACTATGCCTGAGCAGGGCGAGGCCAGAGTAACTCTGGTGGAGGCTCGCAGCGATACTGACGTGCAAATCGTTCGTCGGACTTGGGTATAGGGGCGAAAGACTAATCGAACCGTCTAGTAGCTGGTTCCCTCCGAAGTTTCCCTCAGGATAGCTGGAGCTGTTGAACAGTTTTATCGGGTAAAGTGAATGATTAGAGGCCTGGGGGGTGAAACACCCTCGACCTATTCTCAAACTTTAAATAGGTAAGATTTTGTGGTTGCTTAAGCGAACCCCGAGGATCAATGAAAGTTCCAAGTGGGCCATTTTTGGTAAGCAGAACTGGCGATGTGGGATGAACCGAAAGTCGAGCTATGGTGTCAAACTGCACGCTAAGTTGCTAACCCAGACACCACAAAGGGTGTTGATTGATACAGACAGCAGGACGGTGGTCATGGAAGTCGAAATCCGCTAAGGAGTGTGTAACAACTCACCTGCCGAATCAATCAGCCCCGAAAATGGATGGCGCTGAAGCGCACGACCTATGCTCGGTCGTCGTGGCGGTTCTGACGYCGCGACGAGTAGGAGGGCGYGGGCCCTGCTGCGAAGCCTGGAGCGTGAGCCTAGGTGAAGCGGGTCCCGGTGCAGATCTTGGTGGTAGTRGCAAATATTCAAATGAGAACTTTGAAGATCGAAGTGGAGAAGGGTTCCATGTGAACAGCGCTTGGCCATGGGTCAGTCGGTCCTAAGAGATGTGGAAACCTTGTATCAAGGGCGCACTGYGCGCCGCACATCGAAAGGGGGTCGGGTTAATATTCCCAAACCGGGTTGTGGAGGTGGACGGTAACGTAAGCAGCTCCGGAGATG